GGGGTTTGCATAGATTCATTCTGAGCTAAACTCATTCTGTGCTCAGTGTGGACGGGTTTTTAATTACATCTGTTCTTAAAAATTAATCAACCTTGGCAAATCATCTCTGAGATGAAGCTGACTGAACACTGGGTCAGTATTCCCATGATACAGAGGTCAAGCATGGAGCCATTGTTCAAACTTGCCATTTATCCTCAGTCAGTGGTGAATTATAATTATCATTGTGACCTTTGAAATAATCTTAAATTGTTCTTGATTGCAGCCACACATCTTGTTATAAAAGGAAAATAACAAGGATCAGTGTAGGATACCTTTTTTAAGTGATTAGTGACAATTAAACTGCCAACAACAGTTTTGAGTAATATCTGTCTCCTCCTTCACAAAATACTGAATATTCCTATGTTTTGTTTTTATATCTGTTGTTTTTTATTTCTCCAATGAAAGCCACACATTTTCTCTGGCCATAAATTAGCTAGCAGCAAAATTACCATGTGCTATCCAAAACAAAGCTCTCTGTGGGAGCATGTTTGTGTTGAGCACCATTGTCTTTGAACAAAACACAATAACAAGTTCATTTTCTGCATTTGTGTCTATTCTCCATCACTCCAGGTGTACACAAACATGGTGTGCACACACAGACACAAACGCAAACCTTCATGTCTTTGTACCTTTTCAGCACAAAACATTAAACGGTAATGATAGAACTGCTTTCAAGCGCAGCTTAGTGTTGCAGTAAGTGGACAGCTCTGAACATCCTATGTGAAAAGCCCCCTGAGGTTGAGTCCCTGTGTATCGAGAAACGGTAAGTAACACAGCTAATGGGCTGGTGTGTTTTTTGTGGAGTCGTACAATCCCCTTAATAGACACTTTGTTGATCATTTCAGCCATTCCCCTGCCTCGTCACCGGCAAGGAAAGCTGTACCATGTATCTGAACAGAACATGTCAGCTACAAACCTAATTGTTAATTGTCTGCACATCATGGTTGAAGGTCAATATTTTTTTCAAACACTGTCCTAGCTCTATTTAATTTCCCTAGCTCTTGATCTTGCATAGTAATGAAATGGTTGTAATGTTTTTGCAAGGAGGCATATCATTTTTGGTGATCTAAGAACTGATGCTTTCAGGATCTTGTGATGAAGCTCATTCTCTCTCTGAATTAAACCATACAAAACTGACTGCAAGGATCATAAATTAGGTCATAGAGTAAACAATCATATTAATGGGATTCAAAATACAAATATTCACAGCAATGCAGAATTGTAGATCTTTTAAGGTTTCGTGTGATACTGCCACTTTTCAGTCGCAGATTTCTTCGGAACAAACAACAGAGGTTTTTTGAAGGAGAAGTTATAACTGCAAAATGAGTTTTTAAAGAACTCACAATAAACAAGTCTGTAGTCATGCTAGCAGCTCTGTGAGGCTATGGTTAGACTTTAATATGTTACTTTAGCCTGTTAGCGTGCATTTTAAAGATCAGCTACAGTAATATAACAGCACTGAGATAGATTAGATCAGTTTGTATTTGCAGCACTTGGTTGTATGGAACCTTAAAAGGACCAGACCAATAATTTTCAATTTCAGTTTAGTATTTTTAGTGGTACTTTTTGTGCTAGTAAAAATGAACTATCACATTCTTGCTTCACAGCTGGAACACTTTTGATCATTGGATTTTTGAAACCCATATTCATAGTTAATTTGTTCTGTTTTCACTGTTATTCTTTGCTTCCACTGTACCACTTCCCTGCCCAGCATGGATCTGTTAGCTCACTGAAATGACGACACTTTGAGCAAAGAGAACCTCTGTAGAGTTTGATGGTTTAAATACTGCGTGACTCAGTCTCAATGGAGTCATGGTGTGCTCGATATGCAAATATAACCCGATATGTTTTAACACAAAGTTTGAAGCGTACCTTGCATTTGCTGTGATTTTGTCATTTTTACATGTGCAGGTCCCATGTCGGTACTCCAAAGGAAATCATGTTGTGGATCTTTTCACTGGATTGCATATACTATGAAAGGTCACTTATCAGGTACTGATCTTTTTAAATCCATAGTTTTATATTTTTAATTTTTGGAAAAGTTTGGAAGGTAGAAAAACTTAACCAATGATGAAAGACCCTAAAGTCTCAAAACTCAAACAGATCTTGAAGCCAGTACACGTCTTGGGTGTATTGACATTTGCAGAGCATGCAGTCTTGTCAGCACTCTGGATAGTACCAGTGACACAAACCACAAAGTGTAGTCTTTTTTATCATCTTATCTTAGATTGGAGGATAGGACAGACAGACCATGTGTGCTGTGCTCTGGCTCCGTAACATCAAGTATCGCCTGGGGACAGAGGCTGGTGATGTAAGTGGTTATGCAATATCACTGGTCCTGAACATTCAAATAAGGCAATTATGGCCAAGATTTCTAAGAATGTGATAAATATTCCAACAGGCATACGTAGAATATTTGTTTTTTCTATGTACTTAATTTTCTCTTTTAATTGTTATATGTTCTAACATTGTTTCCACTATCAGGTGTGGCCTCATTAATGATAGAGTTCTGTATTACCGGCTTTATTTATTTATTTAATTGAAAATTATATAATTTTCATCTTCAGTCTTCTTGATGGTACTTTCAGGTATGCTGTGACTTCTGAGACTTGCCATCTGAGTCGTCCTCGTTGGAAACTGCATCGCCAGTCAAAAATAATTTAACTTTAATAATTAAAGTAACAGTGGACGGAGTACCTAAAAAGCCAGCTTCAAGTCTTTTCTAGATGATTTTCATACTGCTCTGAAATGAAGAGAAACCAGTGGCTTTCTGGAAGGTAAAACAATTAACACACTTACAGTAGACTTTGTAAAATGGTTTGTGTTCATGTAAAGTATACTGTCTTGGTGGTTAATGGACTAAAACATGTCAAACCATGTTTTAGTCCACTAATGTATTGTTAAGAACTACTCAAAATGTATGCTAATATATGATTAGAAAGACATTTTAAGAACCACACTGGGATTCTCTTTGTCATTGAAAACGTGTATAGAACCATCAGCAAAGATTATTTCCCCCAAAATTAAATTTCATTGAGTGCTTGGTGCTCTCACTTGATCAGTACTTGTAGTAAAAATGTCAATTGCTTTTCAATGATTGTCTTTTTATTTTTGAAGTTAGCTTTAATTTCATGCAATCAAACGATTTCCATCATATTTCTCTAAACAAAGGTGCTAAGAAACTGGGGTTAAGTTTGAAACCTATGGGAGCTGGGACCTAAACAAAGCCTAACCTACATATGTCAGTGGCTTACTAACAAACATGGAGGCAATTACATAAATATATTGTAGCATCTCTGGAGACGGCAGTCATTTGTTTGTTACAAAATGAGAGCGAATTGATTTAAAAAAAACAAAAAAAAAAACAAAAAACAAAATAAACATAGGATACAACCAAACCATACAGAATGTAAATAAAGATCAAATGTGTTTTAATCGGACATGCAAGCATGGCCATGCTTTCAGGACAGCTGGTAGGTGGAGAGCTTTTTTTGACTGTAGACTTTGGAGCAGTCAGCAGTCCCTGCTCTCACAGTGGTGTGAAGGTTAAAGAGCTGCACTAAATTCAAAGGGCCTGACAATGCAGTTCATTGTATGTTCAGAATAAAATGTTAAAACCCTGTAAAGCTGGAGACAACATGATGTGGGATCTGTATCTTGTTGTTTGTTTAAAGAAGTTCAGACTCTGGCTGATTGTGATACTGATGCATGGACTCACTCTGCAGACCCTGTTGATGGAAACTGGCAGGAAACTTAACAGCTACAAATGGAGCCAGTTCACAAAAACCACAACACAGCCGTCATAAAAGGCTTTAACCATTCACAGCAGGATGCGACTAAGGTATTTCCACTGCTTGATTATTATCTCAGAACTCTCTTCTCACTGTTTTATTTAATGCATTGCTTCATATAGCTATAATGATTAGGCATTTTAAGGTGAACTACTCCTTTATTGCTGTTCCCCAGTTTTTGTCTTCTTCTTCTTCATTCTTTTTTTTTATTTAGACCTTTCACCCAATCGTTGGTAAGGGAGGGCGGGGAGGAGAGAAAGAGAAAAAGAGCGAGAGGGGGGTGGTGCGGGGGGCGGGGCTGGCTGGTTATGGTTTTTCAGCACCGCGGATAGCTCCTGTCTCCTGTCTCTGGACTGCAGGGAAGCGACACTGACACACAGCTGGATAGTAAGCTTTAAAAAAAAAAACGACTCACATCGATCCATAGATTAACCTCCAGCTCACACCGCCAATACACCGCGTTTCCTTCTTCTCTCCCCCTTTCTACTCCTCGATGCTTGAAGTCTCTCCTTGTTTTTTCGGCCTGACTGTGGACTGCATTGCCTCTGCGTCTCCAGTCTGTTTCCTCTTCCTGCTCTTCCTGTTTCTGGCAACCACGGTGCAGTGAAAGTACTTTTTTGGGAGGGGGAGTGGATTGACCTGTTCCAAGTTTTTTTTTTTTTTTTTTTTTTTTCTTTTTTTCTTTTTTTTTCCGATCTGTCCACTTCAGTCTGAGTCTGAACGTCGCTGTTCGGTCTTTTGATTATGTTCAGGTGTGGGATTTTTCTCAGAGCCCAGGCGTGGATATTACTTTAGGATGCAGAAGGAAGATGAAGTTGATAATTTCAGTAGCCGTCGGTGCACACTCTGAGAAGAGATAGGCGACCTGCATCTGCAACATTGGCTGTAATCCTCCGATCGGAGTGGATCAGACGCATTAATTTTTGTGGACAACAGCCAGAGAGCAAGATGAGGTGCCAGTATGACTTTTTAAATTGCACCTAAGACAGATAAAGAGAGAGTGGGTCTTTTCAGCCTGCTGCTGCTGCAGGAAGCGACGGTTTCTATCTTTAGCTGCCTAAACGAGTTGCATCTGAGAGGAGACCGGGAACTCTGGGAAAACACAGACAGCAGAGTGGTCTTTTTCCTCTCCATCCTTAACGTGACACACGTAAAAACAGAGGTAGAAAAATGAAGAAGTTTCGGAAGGTGTTGGACGGCTTGACCACGTCCTCTCCGGGAGGGACTATCGGATCCCCATCGTGCGGCAGCGCGGCAGGAACTCCCACCGCGGCGCCAACTCCCAAGGAAATAGACGTCCAGGAGACGCTGGTGTCGGAAAACTTTCAGCTGTGCAAGGTGGGTAGATAGAGAGGCTTATTCAGTTTTAGACTCCCAACATCCCACGAAGGAGGGAGGTGAACAGTCCATAGTCAGTAACAGCATGTAACACCTTGGATTGTGGCTTCACCACGTCTTTTTTCCACATATACAGACAGCGCTTGTAGACAAAACGATGTGTGCAGGCGTTTATAGAGACATTAATGAAGAACACAGGGGCTGTAAAAGTTGGATGTGAAGTGAGTTGAGCTGCTGCGCTAGATTTGGTGGCCTGCTGTTCTCTGTTTGTGTTGAAAGTTCAGCACCATGGGCAGCTCCGTGTGTCCAGTCTGCTAAGGATGAAAGCAGTTTTAGACAAAGCAGCAGAGAAAAGCCCCAAACCCTCACCAGACAAAATCCTGTTCTTATCAGTGGCTTTTTGTTTTAGGGCCTTAACTGCAAAGAATTGTGGTTATTCCATTAGTCACCCATTGTTCACCTACATAGAGCTCTGCCCCCGCTGACATGTGTGCACAGCTGGTGAAGCTGCCTTGTGTGTGTGTGTGTGTGCGCGTGCGTGCGCCTGTAGTTTTTGGGTACACTCCAGTATAGCTACAGTATATGCGCCCCGTCATCAGCATGCTGTATAGGCTGCAGCAGCCTACACACATGTGATGCAAACAATCCAAAGGAAGTCAATGAATAGCAGCCTCCCCATTGCATCAGCAAGCAGGCACAAATGATGTAGGAGCGATGACATAACTAGTATCCCTCCCTTGCATAAAAAAAAAAGTGCACAGCAAGCCAGTGGAGGGACCCTGCAGTCCTGTCCTAGCTGATGTGCTTTTCACTGAGAAGGAGGGAGAGAATGAAGGAGGGATGTGGATGGGTGTTGGGGGTGGAGGGGGGTGGGGGGTGGTGGGGGTATTTATAGCAGCCCCTGCCGCCCATTGCAGCCTTTTCTGGATGCATTTTGGAGCTGACTGCAGCGATTATACCTCACCCGTAAAGAAACAGGGCTACATCATTTTGGATATGGCTGTGCATAATTCATTGAGCACCCAAGAGAAACCAGGTTGTTTGCGGAGCTATATTATTATTGGGCAGAGTGACACTGGTGCGGGGGGGTGGTGGGAGCTGGTGTTTTTTTTAATTTTTTATTTCTGTATAGAGAAGCTGGGGGAGGAGGAGAGTGAGGAAGGAGGTTGATTCACAAGCTGAAAAGGATGCTGCAGAGCACCCTCGGCAGGCAGTCAGGCAGGCAGGGAGGAGAAAGTGCTGGAAAAGAACAGCATGATTGCCTGGTCCCATGCAGGAAGCTGCTCCTCCTCAGTGAGTGGCTTAATGCACGGCTGTTTTTAAAGACACTGAATTGACTGAACCTCTCATGAAAAAGCCATGAATGTACAAATATGCTCTCCATCCCACCATCACATTTCTTCCGTGTTTTTTATTTGAGCTCATGCAGGTGCAGGTTGTATGTCTGTATGTGTGTGTGTGTGTGTGTGTGTGTGTGTGTGTGTGTATATGTGTGTGTGTGCGTGTGCGTATGTTTGTTTGTGTGTGTGAAGGAAAGTGAGAAAAAGGCCACAGAAGGAGAGGGAGGAATGTCAGTAAAGCTGCAATTACATCTGTCAACTCATTTTTCTAGTGGAGACAGGGTTCAAGGTGTGATGGAGATGTTATAAGTTTCACAGGTCCATTATATTGTCACATTTTAGTCACTACCAATTATTCTTTGCTAGAGGCATGTCTCAGGTCGTAATTTGCCTGTAAACCACACACTTGACAACAACATTCCCCTCAGATAGAGCTTTAAAAACATACTTAAAACTTTGAAAACCTATCTGAAAGTAAAAGTTGAACAAAGTGAGGATGTTGATGGATGGAAGCATGAGTGTGCAAAAGGAGAATCGCTTGTTATTGTCTCTCTAACCTTTTAATGAGGATACTGCTCTCTTATGTTATGCCGGGCAGAATGTGGGATTTAGACGTGCACAACAAGAGACCTTATAAGAACCACGTAATGAATAAAAATCTGTCTCCCCTGACCTTTTTCCTCATTCACCGTGCTACAAAGTATGAGTGTGCTGTACACAGCAAAAATTGGTTTGTTCCCATCCAGGTTGAAATTGAATTTTGTGTAACTCTATATTAAAATAAACAAAGAAGATTCCTGGCAGTCATCATTCATTTCCATTCATTGTCCCAAATATTTTTAGGTAGGATCTGCACCTTCTAATGGGGACATAAATCTGTGAGCTGGTGCAGTATGTGTGGGAGTGTTTGGCATCCTGGATAACTTTTCAAAGTTAGTCATGACTTCTGTCCTCACTGTGCAGTGTGGGAAGATGCAACAACTCATATAGTGTTTTTTGCGTTTATAGTTCATAGCAAGGTGCCGTAGAACACAGTAGCTGAGTGAAGATGGTGAGCTCTCTCCCTCAGACTGAGGGAGTAAAAAGGGGGAAGGAACCCAGGTGGCTGAGAGTCTTATTGGATCTATGGGCTCATTTCTGTTTACAGCATAATAGGTTCATTTTGTGTTAGAGAGAAAAAGTCATGGAGACATAGAGGAAGAGGGAGAGGGAGAGGGATTGGATTGAGTTGCATTTGTTGGATGTCAATTGAATTAACTGGTCTGAATGATACACTAAGAAGGCATTTATGAGAATGGCCAGCAACCGTTGAAATTACACATAGATGTGTATTAATCTGTGTGAAAGCAAAGCATGCAGACCATATATTGATACACTCCATCCCTCCATCAGTGCACTCCTGACCATGTTAGTGTTAGATTGGTGTTATGATGTAATGGAAGTAAAGAGGAGGACAGTGGGACAGCAGAAGCCTAAATGATGGTTGAGAAACAGGCTTTATATTTACTGACTTACTTTTTCTCAAAGCACAACTTAGACTACAGTCTTATGCACTACAAACAGCATTTTTCTTTTAAATTCCACAAATTCATCCACAAATATTTTATTATAACAGACCATACTGAGTTGAGTTTGCTTAAAATAAGTGTGTAAGTGTATTTTTTCAAGCTGAAAACCAGAAGAACAGACAAAACTCTTAAACATTCATGTCGCACAAGGGTAGAACATGGATATTTGATCAAAATTAAAGAAACAGCACTCTCCCTCTGGCTAAAACTACAATGCAGCACACAGTGGGAGGAAATGGGAGAATGCCCTCTCCATTACTTCACACAAGCTTTTGAACTACAGTACTGTGCAAAAGGCATTTTAGGCATTGTGTATGTTTAGATTCATCCATCATACAATACCATCAGCATGGAGTCATTATGCAGTATGACAATGACCACCAAACACACATTAAGTGTCTTGGTATAGTTGTGTCACCACCACGTGCTGCCAGAACAGCTTCAATGCTCCTCCCCTACAAGCTTCTGTACTCCACTAGAGGGATGAACACCATTCTTCCAAAAGATATTCTTTTATTTAGCGTTTTGATGATGGTGGTGGAGGAGAGTTCTGTCTAACACATCGACCCAAGATCTCCCATAGTTGTTCTACCGGGTTCAGATCTGGTGACTGCAAAGGCCAAAGCATTTGACTCACATCATTTTCATACTCATCAAACCATTCAGTGACCCCTCGTGTCCTGTGCATTAGGGCGTCATCATCTTGTTTCCCCACTCATTTTTCAGTTTTTTTTCTTTAATTTGTCACCTGTCTGTAACTTCAGTGACAACATGAACAAGAAGTCCTGTGAGAGATGGTCTGGACCCCATAGAGCCCTGATCTCAACATCAGGGGAGTCCATCTGGCATTACATAAAGAGACAGAAGACACTGAGAAAGACTAAAAGTCGCAGAGAAGAACTGTGGCAACTTCTCCACGATGCTTGGAGCAACCAAGAGAGAATTGGTGCTGTTTTAAAGGCAAATATTGGATTTATTTAGGTTTTTTTCTGGTTACTGCACTTTGTATGAAGTTAATTGATAAAACTATTCATGGCATTATTTGTGAAATCATCCACACTTTATTTCAAACAGTACTGTTTGTTATGGGTATGTGGCTGATACTTCAGTGCATAAAACCTGGAAATAAGGTCAAAGGGGCGAGATGTGTGGTTACATACAGTGTTTGGAGATTGCAAAGAATAGACAAACTGACAGTGAAAGAGGTCAGAGGAAATGACCAGACTTGTTCAAGCTGATAGGAAGGCCACAAATATTCAGATGATAACACAACAAAAGCATAAGGCTATCTCTGAAAACTTGTCAAGCCTTGAAATGAGTGGGCTTATCAGCCAAGGCCATATTGAGCAAGAAAAGAAAGCTAGTCACTAGAAGTGGATGACCGAGCTGTAGAAAAACATTCTACAATTCAACGAATCTTGATCTCTGGTGCAACATGCCGATGACAGGATCAGGATTTGGTGTAAACAGTTTGAATCATGGATCTGTTCTGTCAAGTGTGAGTGTCACAAGCTGCTGCTGCTGCTGGTGGTGTAATAACGTGGAGTTTTTGCTCGACATGTCTCATAACAGAGGAGCCTCATTGTAGTGGCATTACCGTATGTAAACATTGTTGAAGGCCAGGTGCCTCCCTTCATGCTTTCCTCTCAAATGGATACCTCCAGGACTCATCACCTCAGCTTTAATCCAGGAACACAAAAACTAACTTTGCTTAGTTGTTCTGCAGTAATTCCAGATGTCTAACTAGTGGAGCACTTCTGTAAAGAGTTTCGCCTTTCTATACACTCTGCATGAACCCAAAGATCTTAGTCAGTAACTGGTTGAAACCATGCCTCAGTCGTACAGGGACAAAACAATAAGGGCTTATCATTTCTGTTCTGTTTCACTGAAAGTTTCAAGGACCTGAAGAGCAATTTTCTTTTGGGCTTTTCAGCTCTTTCTGTTTAACAAATCATTAACAGAATAGAAAATAGAGAGGAAAATGGGGAGTATATTCAGAAGAGCTGCTGAAGATGCTGTAATCAGTCAAAGTCCTCAAAAAAGCCAAGAGAATCATCCTGTTTGTGACAATTTCAAAATAAATACTCATATG